ACTCCACGGCGCCGACTCAACCGGCGGGAGGTAAACCCGGCGGGGTTTTAGTGCGGTAGGCCTTTCAATCTGGAGGGAGAGTTCCCACATAAAGATTTCCCCCCCGTAAAAAAAAAGGTATATGGTATATTCACTGCTTGAAACTTTCTGTAACAATTCAAGTAATAACAGTTTTTTTTTATGTAACAATTTACTTTATATTAATTGACTTTATAATTTTATATATATTTCTTAAATTAAATTCATAATTTATTATCTAAGATGATTTCCGATCCAAGGGTATGGAAACTATAATGCACGGAGTGTAGATTGTTACGCAATATAATACTTGTAAATGATTTTAAAACTACTGCTCATGTAATAAATTTAACTGCCTCTGTGGCCGAACGGTTACCATGCCAAACTGCTATGCAGAGGTCTCGGGTTCGAACCCGAGCCGGGAGAGATATTTGCATGGCCTATATTTATTTATTTCGTGAGTTTGGACGTAGTTTGTGGTTGTCATTATCATCATTATAATTACATGCTTCAGGGCCCAGCAAGTATGCCCGTATAATATCTGGGGCCTTACCATGAACTCTTATTACGATTCAGTTTAGGACCAAAAATGAGTCGTCGTGAGACAGCTCTACATGAAGTGTATATCACCATCCTGCTTTTTTGTCGTTACGAACCTATACTGAACTGTAATATGAGTTCACGGTAAGGCTCCAGCTTTGTATAAAAGACGTGTGTAGTATTATGGTATATAGAATATGGATATATCGCTAAAGAAGGATGGCGAAAACTACCCCAATAACGACGAAGAGCCGTTCATGAACTTTGCTAGAATAATTTTGCGCTTTAGTTTATGCCTAGTTATCAATACATTTTTGTATATTTTTAGAAGTCGGGAATAAAAAAAATTAAATACTATGTATTTTAGAATAGATGCAAGAACACAACGCAATTGATTCAGTTCGACCACAGATGAGGTAATGTTCTTGTACGTACGTTTCATTTTAAGCATGATTGAATGTTTACTGACCTGAAGTATTGGTTATTTTATAGTACACACATAAAACATCAAAACTATGAAATACTTAATGAAATAATCAGTTAAACAGTAATGACATAAAGCAAAAAATAAAACACAATGTGACAAAAATATTTAGATAATATTTAAATGATAGATATGAAAGTTGCAAAGGACCGTTATGATAAGAGACCTCTTGCCAATGTCAATGTCACAATGATATTGAGAACAGTGTGGCCATTTGTGGCAGATTTCTGCCATTTGGGCAGATTTAACTTTTATTCAATTTCATTTCTGCAGAACATGATAACTTATATTAAATGGCTAAGTTTGGCAGATTTGGAAATATTCGGGAAGTTCTTTGTTATTTCTGGGAACAATCTGAAAACTTGTTGTTGTCTGTTACTACGAAGAAACATCTGAAGCGAAATACAGGACAATGTTATAAACATAACCTATATCAACATTATTACCCCAGCTTCTACAGTCTGAACTCAATTAGCTTTCTTTGATGCTTTGATAATGAATCACAAGTATTCATAGGTCTCCTTAATGCACATCGTCAAAAACACTGAGTCACAAAAGGGAAAAAGGATGTCACCATCCTTCTTTGAATGCAATGTTTTAATTAATATACACTGGGTGAATAATATTGTCTGGGTTGGAATTATTCCACATATTATGTACATTTTGATGTACACGGGGTCTTCGGAGGTTAAACCTTGAAGTTTGTCAAATTAACTCCTTATATTTTCCACTGAGCAAACATTGTTATTATCTGCTGTGCGATTTTATATTTTTTAAATACTAATGGCCGCCCGAGTAATACGGTCGAAAAAACTATTATTACAACGGTTCAACACAAAGATACAAAAAAGATATTAATAATTATAAACTTAGACCAACAAAAAATTAAAATTATTCAAAATTCAAAAACAAACAAAGAAAATAAAATAAAACAAACAAAAAGCAATGAATAAAATATAACGACTATTTACACTGTCGTGTGTCGCAGTGGTGTACGCAAAAGGACCTCATTCAGCTTAAGCCAAAGCCGTAATAATGGGGCATTTACACCGAGTTGTCTGCCGCCCTCGGCAGACTATTTCTCCTTGAGTCGTCTGCCGCCTTAGGTGAAATTGCGTCAGTGCATTTGAAGTAGTCACTATGAATCGCCATGTGCTCTCACAGACTGTGCTCCAAAAGGAGATCGATGAAGTTGAGAATACATCGCACAGTTGTGTGGTGTGCAAACGAATGATTGCAATAGTCAGTGCAACGTTGCAAAAAAATAGGTATATCAATAACGTTCTCATCCTAATTGATATTTTTGATTAACAATTATCAAACTATTGATGTATCAGCTATGTGTACGTTATTATTCCAATTCCTTCAAAATCCCCTCAGTTTGGGGAATTCCCCGCAAATTGGTGACTCTGCCTAGCACGCGCGTCGTGGTGGGGTGTTGCTGAGGACACATTGAAACCTATTCGACCGGTGGTCGCTTGCGTTTACACCTAGTCGCTTTCCGGTGACTCAGTATTTACACTGGTAAGGCTAGCACGACAGAGCGCGACTTACGCAAGAGCAACATAAATCGCAATATTTCTATGCAAGTACAGCAGTATCTCGCGCTTTATGTCGCTGTCATGCAAATCGCCTCTTGTCGTGGTAGCCCTACAGGGTCTGAAGTCCAAGTCGCAAAGAAGCACAAGTCGCCTGTCGATCAGTAGGGCGGGCATGCCAGGGCGCGACCTACTCTATGTGAGAATAGCAATGTCTCGCGCTTTATGTCGCTCTCACGTAAGTCTTGCCCTGTCGTGCTAGCCCTACTGCTATACCTAAATGCGCCTTTAGGCTGTGGCGCTGGTTTTCAATGGGCCCTAAGCCAAAATGAGTAACAGACGTTTGTAATCCAAAATTAAAATGAAAATAAACTACGTAAATACTTGTGTGTGTCTTCAATGTGAACCTTCATTGTGTCATCATAATCATCAAAATCTATTGTTAACTTCCTTGCTACAGAATTGAATTTGTAGTGAACTACTATTTAAAACTGTTACGTGGAAATAATATTTGCACCTCACTAGCTCGAAAAGGATTTCTTATTAGAAATTAGCGCGCAAAAGCGTCCACACTAGCGTGTAAAAGGTTTTTGAAAATTGAACTTGACGATGGACTGTGGTGCATCTAACTTTTATTTTCAATGAAAAAAAAAACATAATGACACGTTCAACTACGCGATTTGTCGTACATTATATATGTAATATAAATCCGTTTTATATATTTTATTCTTATTATTGTATTATTGTTGACATTAAATTGATAACGATAAATAATTTTGTTTATTAAAGCTAATATATAATAGTTCAACTGCTTTTCTTTTATCTACCATTTCGCACGCTATAGTAAGGTGAAAACTTGTGTGTTTCGCTCAGCAGCAAAGTTGTTTCGCGTCTCGTGGCTTGAAACCCTCGCTACGCTCAGGATTCTATTATTTAATCTTATTAGAATCCTTCGCTTGCTTGGGTGTCAAACAATAACTTTGCAGTCTTGCATAACAAATAGCTATTATTAATGTACTTTTTCAAGTCCCTCTAATGACGTCGTTTGTTTTGATTTCATGAGATTGCAAATATTTTATCAATCACGACACAATTTCATTAAATATCATTAAAAAAATCTATAAATATTTCTTAGCGAAATTATCATTTTTTAACTGCACGTAACGTTCATTATCTAATTGTTATCAATTTCGGTGAAGTGTCAGACGAACTATTAAATGTTAGATTAGGTTATGTCGCTGGTGTCTAGGTCTTATTCAGAGTGGCGGCGCGCGGCGCGCGGCGGGCGCGGGTGCGTGTAAATTAAATAAACATGGACGCTCGTTGAATTCACAGTGGCCGCGAGCGCCAGCGCCTGTGTCTGTGATTCAGGGACAGTGCTTGGTCTAGCGTCTGCTTACGATTTCAACGTGCGGATATACTAGCTCGTAGCCTTGTAGCACTTATACAAGGTTATTTGTAAAATACTAACAATCTCGCCGGACTATATTAATAGCATCATAAAGTATGAAGTTTGTTCAATTATTTTTTACTTATCAAATAAATATGTCAGTTTTTGTTGCTGACACTTCTTAGATCTGATTTGGTAGTGAGGTAGTTTTTTATCAGACTTACTTACGCTAGCGCTTTCCTTTGTTACCGCATAGCGATCTATTTAAATATTTTAATTTTTATGTAAAAGTAAAATCTGAAGTATTATTAAAAGTCATGTAACAAAAATTGTTGTTTTAGTAATTTACGAATAATCCTGTACATGGAAGTGTATTATAATTATTATTCAGTTTTGAATATCTATGAATGTAAAAAAATATAAGTCTTAACTATAGTAATCTCAGTACAGAGTATAAAAAAACCGACGTCTTGGAATTACATCTATTAGTCGAGTTTTCTTGAAATCGGTTACCGGAAAGTGCGCGAAACCGGACTCATGCCCAAGTTTGCCACCCTTGGATGTGGAATGTTTTCTTCAAATTTAAATGAAACCATTGCTGAGGTACACTCTTTCCAACAAAAAGAATCATCAAAACCGGTTTTCAAATCTCGCGTAACATACACACAAAAAAAATTTCATCGAATTCAGACCCTCCTCTTTATTGAATCGGTTAAAAATAAGTATTACTGCAACATTATCGTACTTGTTAAACGAAAAATTCTAATGTAAATGACAAAATTACGATTTGTAATAAGTACGGATCAACGTACATTAATGTGCTCGCGTCCTACTTTGGGCACGTGCAAAATTTATAAATTAAAGTTTTCAGTACAATAAAATTTCTCCGTGACATGTTCTTGCATCATCTCACTGCCACACTTGACATATTCCGACACTGGACGAGACAAGTAGCACGTGCATAACAAATAAACAAAAATACGGAAAGTATAAGATATCAATAATATATTATTATTTACAAAGCATTGAGCAAACTAAATAAGGTAGTAAAGAATAAAAAGGATTAAAATACAAATAAAAGAGTAACATTAAGTGCCGCGCCCAGAAGCCTGGCTACGTCAGAGGAATTAACTGCCAGTCTTAATTTTTTTAATACTTTTATTTTTAAAGCAAACTTGTAATTTATTTTCCTAGAGAATTTCCAAGCCAGGGGTATACCAAGGGACACGCAGTGCAGACTGACATCCAGTATTCTACCTGTAAATGATATTCAATTCACACCGTTAGTACAAGTTGTACCATGCAACACTTATATTTGTACATAAAGCAAAAAATGTGATTTCTACTTGTGTTACATATATGCCAATTTGTTATACATTTACACTTTTAATACGACATTGTAAAGCCTGTTTCAATTCATTTTAAACAAAAAGTAAACAAATCTGTATAGTTAGAATTCTAGAGCAATCACTCAATAAATCGAATAAGTAACACTTTCACGTATATTTCGAAGATTTCGACTAGATATCTTATCACTTTTTCCAACAATATTCATTTGAATAGCATCACAAAATCGTATTTGAAAAATGGTAGTCCTAAATTGAGGTTGCTTAGTGCTACACTAAAAAAAACATTTAGTTCATTCAATTAAAGTTTTTGTAATCGACTAGTAAATCGAAAATTTCAATCACAAACGAACGAGTATCTAGGTGTAAGGATTTGAAGGAGGATTTAAAATTAAGATTTCGGAAATTTTAAATATATGCTTTTATAGGTTATGTATTTTCATTATTTTAATGTAAAGAAAACTGCTAGTATGACTCAATTGAACAAATCGATTCATTCAATTAATTAATCGATTTGTAGTTGGCATTACAATTAGCCATCACTAAACCGTCTATGGTCGGGTCTGAGTGACTTTTTTTGTTTACTTTTTGTTTAAAATGGATTGAAAAGAAGTATAGTAACTTCCTAGACCCGTTCGTTTTTTTATTAAGAGTCACCGGAGGAAAACCAGGAAAAACTGTTTTATTAGTATAGTAGTATTTACTATTAAATAACGGTCTTACAAAAAATACGATATACGTGTGGATATTGTCTAAATAATGTGCTAATTGGTTACACGATGGGATGTACTTCACCCGATTATATACAATCCTGAAAACTGGCTAAAATAAAAAACGGTAATTAAAAGTCTTGAACAAATTATTTAACAATAAAATATCTAACTTAGCACAAAATATTTATGTGGAGATATTTCTCTTTTAATGTACAACAGAGAACCTGCTAAATTTTGGTTTTCAACTGAAGCCCTGTAGTTATTAAATACACATATACCTAGCCCAAAAATTTAAAATTGCCCAGCGGTTTAATGACGTGCAGCGCCGCCCGCTACCCCGCCAGTCGCCATCAGGTGCTTCTTAACGTCGGATGTGTGGCAAATTTTCTCCTCTTGTTCTTATTTTATTCATATTAATTTTCAGCGCGCGGAATACGGGACGCGACGGGCGGTCCCCTACACATCACCTCCCAAAATGTAGGCTCGCGTTGAAATACTACGCCTTAAGTCGCCTGCTAATCGATAGGCCACTCAGAATTTTTAAATCGCAAAAAACCCAGGGGCATTGCCACTGTGCCCGTCATCTTGAGACAAAAACTTTACTAGTCCTATCCATAAGAGAGAGTGTGCGATGGGATTGCATAATTTGATTCCGCCTTCCCCATCATCGGGGGACTAGACGTGGGCTGGGATTCCACTCCTATGTTGTGGATATTCCTAGGATTTACAAGGCGAGCGGCTAGGGTGTGTAGTGGAATTCCCTGCCCTCGGACTTGTTCCCCGAACGCTATAACTCGGACCTTTTTCAGGCGTGAGTGAATAGACATTAATTAGGTGTGCATGCCACATCGCAGACTTCAACGTCATTTTCCACCAGGTGAGATGGAGGTCAAATGCGTACTTGTTAAAAAAATATGCCTATAGCTTCACCAGCATCCTTACCTTTCAATACCGGAACGTATTAATGCTCACATTACAGCTTCGCGGTAGAAATAAGTAAGGTGGCAGTACTTCCCTGGATGAACTCTTTCATAAGGACCTCTAACGCTACTTAAATGTTCGGTATGAGGAACGATCACTATTATTTCTTGCTCATTCTTCTCAGGGGAATCTGCCTTACGAATGAGCAGCAGAGTTATAATTTTTTTTAGTAAAAATGTAAGTGCGCATTTGACCTCCATCTCCCCTCATGCAAAGTGACGATGAGGTCGATGATAGAGCATATAAACCTAAACAATGCCTATTCACTCTCGCCTTGAAAAGGTTCAAGTTATAACGTTCAGGGAACAGTCTGGAGGAAGTCTACAGGCATAGCCGTTCGCCATATAAATATGTAAACGTAACGCTTCGTGCGAATCTTTGAAATATCCTCAACATAGGGATGGAACCCAAGCCTACATCTAGTCCCCCGGTGATGGAAAGGGGAAGGATAAGCAGCCAAATTTACGGCGGTGTTCAAGGCTTCGCAGCGTCACCTCCACTAGTTCCGAGTCACATATATAAGTCTCTTGGCACGGTTGTCAATTGAAGCCAAGGTGGATGTAGCAGAGCCATCCCAAAGGAGCTCCATCCACGATCAACCAATATTACGACTTGGCCAGAGTGTTTAACCAATATTACGACTTCAACTGTAATTAACTTACCTATGAAATAAAGACGATTTGAGTTTGAGTTTTAGGTAGCTCAAACAAATTAAAAAAGAATACAAATAAGTTTTTATAACACAGAATATTACTTGTTACTTACGCCATTGTGTTCGGCAGTTAATGTGCAAACATGCGGAGAAGAACAAGGGCTAGGCGAGATTGTCTTGCAGTTCTTCGTTCGGTATTCTTCAACATTCACTGGATTCTTCGTCCATTCGATCACTTCTTTTTCATTGACCTGTGCAATATTTTTTTTCTAATTCCGATATTGTTCAATTTATCATATTGATTTCTTATCTTTTTATTTGTCTAGACTTACCATAAAGACGTCGTCTAGCTTTGTGATCGTATCAATGAAACGGTTTAGAGCCCTGAGTACAGCAGGGTGAATAGAAAGATACCACTCGTGGATGTAGAAACCGAACGGAGCGCGAGTACCGTCATACTGCCTTTCAAAGTTTTCAAGAATGAATTCATACCACGCATCTTCGTCATCATGATTTGGGCTGTAGAAACAAAAGAAAGTGATTAGCTACAATAAAAATACCGAACATTTAATGTTTGAGACGCTATTTGTGTAGAAAAAACCATAGGCATACTACATAAAGATAAAAAATCAATATCCAATAATATGTAACTTACATTTAAAAATCGTCACAGAATGGAATTTTACTATAAATTTTTAAGAATACTCGCGCGTGGAGAGTGAATAAAAGAGAAAATTGGTATCAGTATTTTCAATCCTGTATTAAAAATCTCAATCTGCGGTGTCAAAAATCCCAAACAACAACAACTCACAGAAATAAAATTACGAATAACCTAAGCACTAAAAAGTACTTACGTGAAAACGCAAGCGTCAACAAAGGAGCAAGGGAACCCCTCTAAATCTGCCCAACTAATCAAAGGGGTCACCCAAACTCCAGGGATGGAGGCTGTTGGGCAAGGACCAATAGGACAATCCTGAGTAGAGGCGTAGTCCAAAGTGTAAGGCCATAAACCGGGATTCCGGTAAGTTACCGTAGGCCGCGAAGAATCGTATAGAAGATCATAGTCTTTAATTACTTGGTAGAAAGGGTTGCCTGAAGTTTGCAGGAAAGGCGCACGTACACCTTAAAGATATAATGAAACGTTATTAAAAGGCAAAAATACAGGATATATATTGCCATTGTCGTTTCAGAACCTCGTATTCACGTAGCCGTTTATTTTCTTTAATCTCCCACTTGTAATGAAAATAATTGCACTTACCTTTAATTTCACTGATGGGAATGTTGCTGAAGTAAGACAGTTGTTCTTTTTGCTCTCCAATTTCTTTCGCGATGTCTTCATAAGAGGCTCTTGCCCAATAAGTTTGATTCGACCTATGAGTGATTGAGTGAAGGGCTATCTCAAAACCATGGTTGTACAAATCATTGACCAATTGGTAGTTGGTATATTCATGGCTGACAAAGAAAGTGGTACCGATTGGGCAACCGTTAGCGTTTTTGCGATCGTAAATTAGTTTTTTATATGTTTCTATGTTGTTTATAGTGACTGCGTCGTCAAATGTTAATGTTACAAACTGTGGAACAAAATGGATAGATTAAAAAATTGTAAGGATAGTTTGTAACGCAACAAGATTGAAAACTGTGTGCTCTTGGATGGGATTATAACTCAAAGACTCAGAGTCGATATTTTATTTAAAGCTCTAATTAATAATAATTTTAACTTTAATTTATCATTAACAATAAACAATTTAAGACAATTCAACCGTTCTGTACTGGAAACAGTGCATTATAATAATAATGACAAACTTGTGAAATGTAAATAAAAATATATGAAAGAAATAATTAATAATAACGATGATGATGATGATGAGATGGTGAAAGTATTGATTATTGTGGAAGAAATCATCGATATCGGGACAGCAAATGATAGACAGTGAGAACGCGTGAATTGCGAATTTAGCTTTTGGCATCAAGCTCAACAAATGAATGAACAAACCTGAGGCGTATCTTTTGGAGCTAATCCCAAAGAGTTACTAGTACTTGAGCATTGACACTCAGGAATACTGCATGAAGCGGCTCTGCAGGGTTGAGCTGATGGAAGCGTATCTTCACCATTCGCTACTACCGCTGCCACAGCCAGAAGCGTTAAACACAGCAACGACGACCTCATCTTTATTGGCTCTAGGTCTGACTAGGCATCGATTTGTTTGTTTCTTGTTTTATATCGTTTTGCCGAAGTATTAATGATTAGGTTTGTACTGAAATCGATTTAATCTGCTTGACGCTGTAGATTACAAATCTACAACGAAAATCTGTAATGGTGTCACCGTACGGGCAGTGCGCAGGCCAAGTTATGCTGCTATTACAAACTTTTGCACGTTTGAACGGTATTGTAGAGAACATGTAGAAAATTAAGAAATTTTAATACATAGGAGTTGTTGAGTTATGAATATTTTTATTTTGTTTAAACGAGAAACTTTGTTATTTTATTTATTAAAGTATTTATTGTACAGGACAACACAAATCACATTTAGTAAAACGGAAAACACTAGTTACTACTTATTTCTATAAGAAATTTCTTCCTGCAGACCAAAATACAGGACACAATAATTACAATAACGGGTTTACGTGCACAACAAAACAAAATTAAATTATGTAATAAAATAATAAAACAATAGCAGTAATATTAAATTACTACAGACTATTGGATAAATACATATTTCATATTGTCGTCTTACTTTCTCAAACTCGTATCTTAAAGCACAAAGTTACTGACATGCAAAAAATGGATTGCATATACAAATTATGCAGACTGATTTTACATCACATTTCTTCATATCACACTGGCTTTTACCTATTCTTAAAGTAACGTATCCAAATTAACACCTTTGATAAGAAATATAAAATAAATATAAAGTTTTACCTGTCCAGTCGGATCGAAGTTCGGATTTTTTCTTAGTATCCGATCTTTAAATTAATAATTATAACAAACTATAATGGAATAATTTTACAAAAATGTTTGAATATTACGGTAGTCAAACATCAGCATTCAATAAAAAACACATAAAAAAATTACAAATAGAATATTTATTTATTCAATAAACGAAATAAGAAAATAAGGTACAGTTTGTGTCTAATTAAAGAAATATATTATACGCAATGATTTATTTAAATATTCAGGATTACATAATAATATGCCTAAATATTTGTACCCATAATCAAAGTTTGTATAATATATATGAAAATACTTGAAGAAGCTGTAAATATCTTTTTAAAGGTTGAGTTAGGCAACCTTAATATTGTATGTAGATTTGGATAACAAATTTTCATGTTTTTGATGACGTAATTTTCACACAACAGGCATTATTTCAATGAAAATCTAAAAAGTTCGGGTAAGTTAAATCTTGTAAGTTAAGGTAAGCTACATCTTTAAAGTTCATGCCCCCAAAGGATTTCCATACCAGGGGTAACTTGTTGGACAGAGATCGGTACAAATTTTCATCCAGTACTCATTCTAAAACAAACATCCAATGTTAATGTTTTTATAAATACCTACTGTCTAACTAGGGAACGTACACAAAACTACAATAGCGGAACTATAGTATAACCGAACTAGTACATACTCCATTGTGTTCAGCCGCCAAAGGTCCACATTGAGTCGCTGTACAATCAATCGGAGCAAAAGGTTCTTGGCATGGCTTCTCTCTGTACTCATTGAGCGGTAATGGATTTTTTACCCATTTAATTACTTCGTATGAATTTACCTGCGAACGGGAATATTAAATTTGTTTCCATTATTTATCTTTTCATTTACAAAACATTGCAATGTAACTACAAATAAAATTCCTCGAAACTAACCTATTTTAACAATGAGCAAAATTACAGTATCATACTGGTATTCAATGCTTTGGTATGTAATTTAGAAAATCTGACTACCATACCTATTAACGCTCATGCTGTAAAAAAACTTCCTCTTGACATAATAAATATTTAGATTGTTAAATATTTAAGATTGCTTACTTACAACAAAATCTAAACTTGACAACATTTTGCAAGAGTTATATTAGTTTCAAAACTGGACCACCACAGGAGACCTTAATTTGAATATAAACTTGGGAATTTAGTATGTCTGGCCCTTGAAATATTTAGGAAAATGTGTTACAAACTGAATATTGCAGTGAACTACTTTGTCCGAAAACTCATTTTTTGTAAGTAGCGGAGATAAATAACAAATCATTTTGGTTGTCATCCATTTTGGATTCGACATATTGGAAATTTCAATCTGGTAGAAACTGACTCAGGTCTTTGACAAATATTGCTTTTGCTTACTGAGCCATACACGATTGATTCTTTCAGCATACAATTCATGTCATCTAGCGTTTTGGTCAGAGAACTAAATATCATATGTATAACAACACTCCTACTTAATTTCGCCCCTTTTCTTCTGTTAATTATTTGTTTTCTGATTGTTCACTTATTTGTTTAAGCTCCATGACTTAACTCGATGCCAAATTTTAAGTCAACTGGAAGTGTTTCAAGTTTTGATCACAATTTTTATCATTGTATTATAAATTACATGTGTGCAAGCTACTGATATGTATACTTTAGTTTACCTATTATAACAATTTCACTATTTCTTTTGAAAGTATGCCGATTTAATAGTGAATAATAGTTAATAATAGTATGCCGACAAGATATTGAAAGACGTACAGAATTAAAAAAGATAAACTAAGAGAAAAGAAAGGAGAAAAAAAAGATTTTTGTATTTAACATTGATTCATTAAAATGGTCTTATATTAATTTTGTTTCCCAAAAACATTTAGATTTAGAACATTTAAAGTCATTTAAGTAACACTTAGAATGATGTCCTGAAATGTAAACCAGTTTAAGATAAAAAAGGTAACTTAGAAGCAATACTTACTTGGAAAACATCATGTAAGTTGTTGATCAAGTCTAAAAATCTTGTAAAGGCTCTTTTTATGGCCGGAAATGAGTTGACATACGATTCTTGGATGTAAATGTTGAATGGTGCTCGGTTCCCCAGATAGTGTCTCTCAAAGTTTGAAAGCATGAATCCATACCAACTATCTTCATCATCTTGGTCTGGACTATAAGAAAAACGAACCGCTTAATGGTCAGAGTCTATGTAAGCGATTGCTTGTGATTATATCTCATCAACGCCATTCTAACTATTTGTTAAATTAAGCGCCATTACTCAAAGGAATTGCGATGTTGTCAATAAGATGATACACCAAAAGTAATTAGTGCCATGTACGGGCTTCAATCACGGACTTCTGTAATCTGGGACTTCATATTACAATATCCGAAAAAATTACGAGGTTTCAAATAAATAAATGTTCGTAAAATGAAGATTTGCAATATTGATAATATTAGCAATATCTATACATTTTAAGATCGCCATTCTTACTTCCTTTCCTGTGTAGTAAATGCAAGAGATTAAGTAGAAACATATTTCACAATCAATGAGTTCAGATTTCACAAAAAAGCCGGAATCCTATGTCGTACCTACTATAACAAGCATCAACAACAGTGCAAGGTGATCCAGTCAAGTCCCTCCAAGAAATCAAAGGCAGTACCCAAGCACCAGGTAGACACGCAGTAGGACAAGGGGGATTGATGCATTCTTGAATCGACGCGAAATCCAACGTATAAGGCCAAAGACCTGGACCAGTGAATGCATTCGTTTGCCATGTATTGTCGTATAAGTCTAAATCGAGGGCTAGTTCAAAGCTTGCATTGCCACCCATCTGTAGGAATGGGATTCTCATACCTGAAATTTAAGTACAAATTTGAGTTGGGGAAATAAGTTGTCTAAAAGCTAACTTTACATCAAAGAAAAGAGATATACGAATATATATACATAAATGCACAAGCATGATTTAGTACGGGCTATCTAATTGGACAATTTATCAATTATTTCAGGAAATTTGACGTCAGAAACTAAATTACGTTGTTGAATTACATTAACTGACGTTAGAAATAGATAAACGCGGAATATTACTCAAAATTGAGTTATAAATGCTATACAAAATTAATGTGATTATAAATGTTTCTTATATATCTATAAATGTAGTTAAATGACAAAATTAAGATTAAAATTTGTTTTGAATTTTTATTATTACATACCTTTGATAGCACTTCGAGACACGTTAGCGAAAGCAGTCATTTGAAAAATTTGTTCAGCAAATTCTTTATAATATATATCATACGTTGCTTCTGCCCAATAAGATTGAGGTATAGATTTCGTGATTGAATGCAAAGCGATTTCGAATCCTTGATTATGAAGTTCGTTGACGAGCTGGTAATTGTTATTCTCGTGGGTAACGAAGAAGGTAGCTCCTGCATTACAGCCGTTACTGTTTCTTCTTCCATACAATACTTGTCGATAAGTACCAATGTTGACAATGTTGATGGCATCCGAAAAACTGACGATGACGAACTGATAAATAATGATACATTCCATTTTATTAACAACACTGGACTTTATAGATTTTGAAACCTTCCGAAAACGAATTTTACTGTTTTTGGTACTTTAAATACCCTGACAATTTGGTTTAAACATAGTCATTTGGTTTTCTTCAACATTATTTTCTAAATCGACGAAACAGATTCTAAAGTGAGATAGAGCAGGCAGTTGGTAAGAGCCGGCCCAAGGCGAACTTACCAGGATCAAATTGAGGACCTCCTAAAGAAAGGCCAGGTCAAAAGTACCCTTTACAAAAACATGTATGAAAGTACTGATGCGTGTTGATGACGCGAAAGATTTTTATATGACCACCACAGAGGTCGCTTGCATATTGATTTTGACGATGTAACCATCTCCACCTTCGATACCTGGTCAATGTAGAAAAACTTACTTTTCTATATTGTTTCGGGTCTGGGTATTTCTGGTACCGGCTTTGTTTCCGATTTTCATTAGACAAGTACTTTACTTACTTACTTTGGGGCCAGAGTAGAAGTATGTGATGTTGTCAAATATTAAAAAAAAAGATGGGTGTCAAGACCGTAGCAAGTGCAAGGTTAGGCTCTGTCTACCTCGATGGAAAAAGGGCGTGAAGTATAATGTATTTATTTTCTCAATTTTAATGCGAATTCCTTCATAAAACCATTCTGTTTATTTAATTTCTAGAGTGTTTGGTGAAGTTCGATGTTCGGTCTACATGTGTCACCATTCTTTGAGATTCCAGCTTTGATAGAATTCCTAAATTGAACTAATAATGCTGACTAGTTCCGTAAGTCTATACTACAAAACATACATTTTGCTGTGTTGAGTCAACCCGTAAACAAGGAGCGTATAACCGTTCTGAGATACAGGGAAAATAAAAAATAACATATCGAAACTTGTAATTAGTGATAATCACTTAAAAGTTTTGAATATCGAGTTCGTTGGTTTTTGCGATTGTTAATCATGGAAATGACATGCATGTTTATTTTAAAAACTTATAATTACACAAAATGAAACTATTTTTTCGGACATAAATCGCGTATTATTTGTTTTTGTTTAACATGATGTTTGAAAAAACAAATATATACTATTTACATTCGAAAAAATGGTTTCATTTCCGACGTGTAACAATCGTGAAAACCCAAGAACTTGATATCTAGCAGCTTGCTTTCGGGCGGTGATCGACTCAACCCCTATTGACGATCTGTTACATCTTTGGTTAGTAGTATTGTTAGTACTAGTTGAACGAAATATTTTTTTTTTAAATTTGGATAAATTCAGGCTCTTTAAGCTATTAAAAAAGTTTGGGTATGAAACTAGTTTTTTTCGGAACTAAATCGCATATATTTGTTTTTCCAAACAAATCAACGTTTCGGACATTTACTCCAGTCCCATTACTGACAGTTGGCTCTGATAATCCGAAAAAAAAAATTCCATTACCATGGGTAACATTCGCAAGAACCAAGCTAATTCCAGGTTTCTTACCACGATGCGATTCTTTTTTATTTTCCCAATATTTCAGAACGGTTACACGCTCTTTGGTCACGGGTTAAGTTAAGCCGTCAGCATGTCCATCTGTGACCATGGATCGTGGAACCGTTATGTCAAAAAAATAAAAAAGAACTCATATTTTATCGTGCTAAGGAACCTGTAATTAGTGACAATAAATTTAGTGAATAAGCCTTAAAATGTATGTTAAAAACTTCTGTTATTTTTATCATTTTAATATGCATACAGTTTACTTTACCTGTGGCGTGTCTCTAGGAGCTAAATTACCGGGAATATTAGTCGAAGAGCATCTACAATTCGGTGGCTTGCAGAAACTTTCCACACATTCTTCAGCTAGAGGTAATTCTCTAGAACGAGCCGTAGACATGACCAATAAAATTATAAACCGCTTCATTTCAGTTTCTTACTTCACTTCTTATATAATTAAAACAATTATAGAACATTATTTTATGCCTTGATTGTTAATATACTAGGAATAAATATATCACGACACATTTTTGTTGAGCGAGTAAAATAAAGTAACTGTGAAAGTTATTGTGAAGTGAAACATTGTTTGATACAGTAAACATGTTGTATAAACAATTGGGATGATTGTACAAATACGTGTATGTTTTTCATCATATTACCTGTTTGACTGTTTACATACCTGAGACGTGATTATAAATCAGAGTGTCGCAAAAAGTTGTGTCTGAGTGGCACCGCTACTTTGGACAAGCGTGTCGCTTACCACCAGGCGCACGACTTGTTTTCATTAAATTATTAATATTTAACTTGCTTTGTACATTAGATATTAAAGAATTTTGTAAGTTAATTCTATTTAAAAACGAATATTAGTTATTTGTTATGCAAGGTTGCAAAGTTGTTATTTGACGATGCTTGAAATTGAAACCTGAGCAAGCGATGTAAGCTAAGACTGAACGAGCGAAGCGGGAGGATTTCAAAGCATGAGACGTAAAACAACTTTGCTGTCGAGCGAAACACATAATTTTTCATCACAGCGAGGGAAACGGTAGATGAAAGATAAACAATTGAACTATAAAACATCAATTAAATTTTTATTGAATTGATATTCAATTATTTTTTGTGAAATTACTCCACTAGTTTGTTATAATTATTAATACAAAGATCGAACACTCAGAAAAAACACTCAGAAAAAATTCCTTCGATCCGGTCGGATTCGAACCGACGTCTTCTTGCATACCGTGCCAGACGCTATACCAATTAAGCCACGGAACGAACCAACGGACCCCACGAATTTTTCTATGTGCTTGCGTCGTGTCTTTGTACTTGGTTTTTCAACGACTTTTTAGTCGTAGCGCCATCTATGAGAAATGCAAACGGTATGCAAGAAGACATCGGTTCGAATCCGACCGGATCGAAGGAATTTTTTCTGAGTGTTCGATCTTTGTATTAATAATTATAACAAAATAGTGGAGTAATTTCACAAAAAATAATTGAATATGAATTCAATAAAAATTTAATTAATACTGTGAATACCGACATCTCTCGCCAGGACTGGTAGCTGTAAAGGTACTAACTGGGTGATAAATCTGTCAAAGATTTCTCATAGATGGCGCTACGACTAAAAAGTCGTTGAAAAACCAAGTACAAAGACACGACGCAAGCACATAGAAAAATTCGTGAGGTCCGTTGGTTCGTTCCGTAGCTTAGTTGGTATAGCGTCTGGCACGGTATGCAAGAAGACGTCGGTTCGAATCCGACCGGATCGAAGGAATATTTTCTGAGTGTTTTTTCTGAGTGTTCGATCTTTGTATTAATAATTATAAAACATCAGATTTTTTTTAATCAGAAGAAAAAGTTTACCTTCCGATGCGTTCTGAATTTGCATCTCATCAATTTTTGTTCTTACTTGTACTTATAATTTTGTGTGATTAACTGATTGTTGAAATTATTTTAGTTCTTCGACAAATCAAAATAATTTAATAAGCACAATTAGTTATCGTTGTCAATTTAATGTTAACAATAAAAAGAAAAAAATATGCCAACGGATTTATATTACATAAATAAGTAATGTACGACAAATCGCGTAGTTGAACGTGTCATTATCTTTTTTTCATCAAAAGAAAAAGTTAGATGCACCACCATTGACCTACTGCATCACAGTCCATCGTCAAGTTCGAATTTCAAAAACTTTTTCCACGCAGATTTCTAATGAGAAAGTAAGCCTTTCCGAGCTAGTGAGGTGAAAATGTCTTTTCCCTTGAGAATAGCCGAGAGATTCTTATTGTAATGAAATTGCAAACCATTGTACTTTTATTTGCATTGTTTTGGTTTGAGACTATAGAGCTCCTTGATCTCTCAATTTGATGTTCTTCTTTATTAGCCGCCTTCTAAAACGGGAGGAGGTTGTCAATTCGACTGCATTTTTTGTATGTGTGTATGTTACGCAATTACTCCGACATTTTTTGAACCGATTTCAATGATTTTTCTCTTGTCAGAAAGAGGGTACCTCAGTAGTGGTCGCAGTGAAATTAAACAAAAATATCCACCTGTAATGGTAGCGAATTATGGTTTCAGTAATTTTGAAGTAAATTTTTTGTACTCAATTTTGGTGACAATTTTTATTTTTTAATTACTCGACTATATCATCGCGAAATATTAAATAATATTTCAGGTTACCACACTCGTATATTAAATAATACTTCATGATGATATTCTATAAATATTTAAATAAAAAGAAATTGTCACGAAAATTGAGTACAAAAAACTTACCTGAAATTTACCCATTTATTGGATTTTGACAACTTACTGCGTAAACTTGGCCAATATTATGTAATTCCACAAAATTTTGAGATCTGTTTCTTTTTATAAAAAAATATTTGTTCACTATACGCCATTCTTATTATTCCCATAGCCTTTCAACTTTGAACCGCGAGGAGTGGAGGAGACCACACAGACAATAACTTGGCATAATTGTGATGATGATATAGACAAAAACTTTTACTGAACCGGTTAAATGCAATGCCGTACCGTGACGTTATGTGGTGACCTTTAGGTGTTAAATTTGTTTTAAATTGATATTCAATTATTTTCTTCGAGAAATCTATGAAAGTATTTCGTGACCCAGTTAGGTAACTTTACAGTTACCGGCTCTGGCTAGAGATGTCGCTATTAATTGTAATTAAATTTGTATTGAATTGATATTTACTATAATAACTGGGTGACGAAATATTTTCATAGATGGCGCTACGGCTAAAAAGTCGTTGAAAACCACGTACAAAGATCCGACAAACAAGCACAAAAATAGACAAATTCGTAAAGTCCGTTGGTTCGTTCCGCGGCTTAGTTGGCATAGCGTCTGGCATGGTTTACTAGATGTCGTCGGATCGAAGGAATTTTTTCTAAAGTGTTCGACCTTTGTATTAATAATCATAACAAACCTTTTGGTATTGTTGAGGTAGGCTTCTATTTTAAAAAGGCATTGATTTGAATACTTTATGTGTTATTTAAAAATTTGATTAATTTGAATGGCAAAAGATAAGACGAGGCAAGATAAGACGAACTATTTCCGATACGATCGGAAAGAGAATTTGGAGCAATTATTACACTGATTAATTTGTTATCAGGCAAATAAGTCGATAATCGACAATTACGTTTTTCTTTTAAAAACAGTATTTTATCTAGTACAAATTTAATCAAAATCAGGTAAAGATGCGTCCACGTCGCAAAGATTTCTTTTTACTTTTAATGTGTATGTAAACTATTTAAAAAGCTAATGTCCCTTGCGTGCTCGAGTTCCCGGGTCTGAGCCGAATCGACGGTAAAAGGCTTTGATGTTGGTTTTTTGGCGGAAAAGTAGTTTGTCTTTTGTGGTAAGCAACATGTGTAAGTACTTTTGCTGCGATCCACTTAAGACAAACTTCGCGGTTGGCTAGTTCCGCAGCTGAAAATGCCGCGAAAATAAACATGCTATTGCTAAATATTCTGCCTTAGAGCCGATGTACGACTTCGTACCGTTCGCGATCGAGACGACGCATTAGGGTTCGGAAGCTTGGAACTTGTTTAAAGAGTTGGGTCGCCGACTCAGAGACAGGGGCTGCGATCACCGCTCTAGGTCGTGGTTGATTCAGCATGCCTGTCCATTGCCGTTCAGCTATGGCAATGCTGCCAGTACAACGGGAACTTAAGTAGCAGTAGAGGTCCTTGTGAAAGAGTTCGTCTAGGGAAGTACTGCCTTACCTTACCTGTTTCTACCCTCAAGCAGTCATGTCAACATTACTGTGTTCCGGTTTTGAAGGGTAAAGGTGGTGGTGAAATTGCAGGCACATGTGACTTGTCAACTTACACACATCAAAAAAAGTTTGCGATCAATAGCATAAGCTCCAATAATTCTTTAAATTTAACTTTAACAAGAAAAAATCTATGTTGTATGCTTTCTTTAAATAGGAATACCCTGTTTGAAATTAAAATATAAAACTATTTCTTATTATTTATTTTAAAAAATTGAGCCATTAATCATAATGTAATAGTGATAGAAATTTCATAGAAAGAAAAAGACTGTTTAATTAAACTTAAACAACAATTTATTATTAAAAGGTGTGAATTCAATATAAAATAACTCCTCCCCTGGCTCGAATATATGCGAAGATCCTCCTGGGCATGCTGAGGATCAAGTTATCCAGCATTTCCTGGGGTAACCTATCCCATTCTTCAATAGCGGCTTCCCTGAGCTCTGGAACTGTCTGGGTACGTGTCTCACGGTTCCATACTGCTCGTTTAAGAGCATCCCACGCATGCTCTATTGGGTTTAAGTCGGGCGAGCCGGCAGGCCAGTCTAATCGTGTGATATCGTATTCTTGAAGAGCAGCATTGACTCGTTGAGCTCGATGTGCGGGCGCATTATCATCGACCAGTACAAATTGGTGCCCATGGTTTACTCGGAATGGTCTGACGATATCATCAATAGCAACTGCTTTGTACATGTCTGCTGTCATGAAGCCCCGATACGGGATCAAAGGCGTTCTAGCTCCAATCATAATGCCACCCCAAAAGGACACCGATTTTCCGCCTTGCTGAACTGTTCCAGTGGCAGTTCTTTGTCTTTCACGGTCGCCTGGTCTTCTCCAGACACGGACACGTCGGTTATCTGGATGAGTGCTGATTCGGGATTCGTCAACGAAGAGACAGTTTTGCCAAATGTTTTCGTCCTCACCTTCTTCATTTTGCCGAAGTCTAGCCCACTGCAATCTTCGTTGTTGACGTTGTCGGGAATTGAGCGGAGCTCGCCAAGACCTCCGTGCTCGTAATCCAGTCTGGTGCAAGCAATTGCGAACGGTCTGCGTGCTAACTTCAAGCCCAGAGGCGGCCCCGACTTCTGCTTTTATTTTAGTGGCGTTGATTGTTGGATCACGGGCTGCCAGCAATCTAATATAG